CGCGCCCCCCCCCCCCGGGGGGATTTCCCCCCCCCCCCCGTACCCCACAGATCCTTGGTGTTCCCCAGCTGGAAAGGGAACAACCTCACCCCCGCTCGGTGAAAGGGGACTCCGCTCGGTACCACGTACCTCGCATAACGGGCCCCCTTTCAAAGTCCTGGCTACGTCCCTGGAACTATAAAAATAACTCTCCAAGGTTGGTTAATTCTTATTTAAGCTATGCTGAATTTAACATAGTATCCCAGGAGGAAATAAAACTTTTTCACAGACATGTTAATATTTTAAGAATTGCATGCGTCCTGATGCCTGATTCATGACATGGTCGATAGAAGAAGCCTATTGTTATAAATCAGTCAGGTAAAACGGTTATTGGGTTTTATCGTCAATAACATTCGTAAGCGTGCCGTACTTATTTTGCATGATAATAGACAGCTAGTAAACCAAAGAACAGCATTATAAAAGTACATTTCAAATGTCCTGCAAATTTAGGGCTTTCTGCTGCCAAGTTTTGTTTCTGTGTTTTGTTCCTATCATTGTGTTTTGTAGCCTTTTAAGAGTCATGTGGCATCACCCGATTTTTTTGCTGCCAAGTTTCATCTTTGTTTCTGTACACTGCAGTGATTCGTTATTGAATTACTTCACAGGGGAAATAAAACGTTTGTGTATCAACAGACAGTGCTCATCAAAATACTTTTCCTACATGATGCGTAGTGTTTACTTGCTAAAAACGTTTAGTATTTTGTCTGACGACCTACCGATGGCACGTCCACACAAACATTTCCCAAGACCTAATTTTGGGTCACGACCGCTCACTAATGTAGGCCTAGTACTTTAAAAAGTGGGCCCGAAAAAATTCAACTACTAATGTATACATTTATAGGTGGAATTGATTCATTTCCTTTATTTCACAGTTAGAATCAATTTCATTTAAGTTCAGTAACTGTTTGCTTATTTAAGATATTACTTTGACCCTCTAAGTTGATTAGGATAAATTCAACCCCCTAGCTCGGTATAGTTTATAGACCAATAAAATATTTTGATAGAAATTAATTGAGAATTGTTATATAATATTTCATGATAGATCTATGTTCTAATTGTTCTATTTATGTTTTTGTTTACTAAATTAAGCAGTTGAATAATAAATAAATTATAGTAGTGAATATTGTCAAAATAGGAAACAAAGCAATATGAAAGGACAGTAAATTGATTGATTTCATTGCCATGGTAATGACATTTGTTATACATATAGTGCTTCACAAATTACTTGTATGTTTATGTACGGCAAGTTTTATTGAAATATGGAAACTGGTTTGATTGTTGGCAATCTGTGGTGACTGTATTCTGTGTACCACATGCTGTTACACATCATGTTTCGCTGGGCATCTAGTGTTTGTCTTTAGATAACCAGTAATCTTACTTATGGCCTACACAACACACATGGCGATATCCAACTAAAGTCAACCAACAGAATGAACAGGAGTACCTGTAATGTTAATAGTCTATCCATTTAATTTACATGGAGTCTTCAATTTTGAAACTTACGACCTTCCTACATTGTTATAACCTTTATCCTGATTGGTTGAATGCTCCTGTTCTTTGTCTTACTCATGTTGGATCACATGTCCTATTGGACATAATATAAAATATTGATAAAATATTTTAAATTTACTTACATTTGATGTAAACAATGTTGCTTGGATTTTGGGTTGTCACTTAAATTCCCCTGATTATTCACAAATGTTTTTAAGGAGTTCGCTGTTTTTGTATAGGTTATTGTTACACAAGTCGTAAACAAATTCCTGATTCTTATTGTATGTTGTTGTTTGTTTAGATTGCGATATGACAATAGCATCCAATCAGAATTAGGAATTCGTAACCAATATCAATACTGTAGTTCATTTTTTTTGGTGGGAAATGGGTGAGAACAAAAGGAACTAAACTGCAATATAAATTAGATTTTGCTGGAACTTATGATTTGTTTCTCTACCCACAATCCTCAAGTATTATTAAATATACCATTATTTGTGAAATAGAAGCTAAATGAAATTGTAAATTTGTCAGCAAAATCTAAATCTTCAGCTAAGATTATGCTATTAGTGTAACAAGACTCTTGATGCGAGGAAATAGTCACACATAGGACTATACCGTATTTGTGTTATAAGGCTAAGACAGATATTATGAAAAAATCTTATTATCAGCCAGTAATTTAATTATTAAAATTGGTTTTCATGGAAAATAAAATATGATAGTTAAAATAGAAATTATATCTTATTGGAAGGAATGTAAATTTTATCGGATGAAGATGTCGTACATCGGATATGTTATTACCTCTCAGGGCTCTGTGTTGATGTGTCACGAAAGGTTAAAGTTATAAAATTGTTAATAATGTTGTCATCATCATAAATTTCCAAATGCTCAATAAATCATGGCAAAATTATTTGTTAACTGTTGAATTTTATTCATTTCTGATTCATCTTCTGCAATGATGTCGAGAATTGATATTTTGAGTAAAAAAATATAAGGCATTTAGGTGTAAAATAATAATCAATGGCATATCCATGATTTAAGGAAGGGGGATGGGGGTGCTTATGAAATCAAGAGTCCACCACGTGAGTGTTACCA